CTTTGAGTATTAAACCAAGTTGTTGGTTGAATACTCAAAGAGCTAGACTGATGTTTTTTGTAAAGATTGCTATATCGCAAGATTTGTTATTAAATACAGATACTTACTTTAAACGTTAAAGCCAAAAATGCATAAGGTATGTGAGACGTATTAAATATACCTTTTTTATTTCAATCTTATCTACTAAGTTTGATAATAAAAAAATAATTTTAGTTATCCCAACCCACATAAGTAAGAGCTAGATATAAAAATAAATAAATAAAGTAATTTGTAGCAAATCATTTACTATGTTACGTCCTGCTAACTCGAGTTGCGTAACTCGAGTTTTAACTGGAGTCGAGTTAACTCTAGTCGTAATTTTTATGAGTTGGTACATCTTTACACAGACTACTTTAATCTAAGAGGATACTGCACATGATACACTATATTAAGTATAGCAGAGATAGATGCGCCACGCTACTCACATTTCACTTTTCAAAAGAGTGTAACGCGTAAGCTAGTTGGTGCAATATTTTTTAGTAAAAAGCGGCCTGCGATAGGTATGGCTAGATGGCGTATTTTATGCAATGACTATCCTGATTATTTACGAAATGTGCTATTTTATTATCAATGATTTTGTTATCTAAAAGTTAAAGTTACAGCCCATATACATTCCACTCCTGGGGCCAGGCCCCCGCTCATTACAGAGAGGGATTTCATCATCATCATCATTACAGCCCTTCACAAGTCCACTGCTGAACATAGGCCTCCCCCAAGTAACGCCACAAAGCACGGTCCTGAGCCACCTGCATCCATCGACTCCCTGCATGTCTTACCAGGTCGTCACTCCATCTAGTGGGGGGTCGCCCTACACTACGCCTACCGGTACGAGGCTGCCACTCGAGAAGCTTTCTTCCCCATCGGTTATCGGTTCTTCGAGCTATATGGCCGGCCCATTGCAACTTCAGCTTACTAATCCGTTGGCTTATGTCGGTTACTCTGGTTTTACGCGGATATCCTCATTTCTGAGTCTATCACGCAGAGAAACTCCAAGCATAGCCCTCTCCATAGCTCGCTGAGCGACCTTGAGCGTCCTCATACGGCCAGCAGTAAAGGACCACGTCTCTGATCCGTAAGTCATCACTGGCAACACGCACTGGTTGTACACTTTAGTTTTCAGAGATTGAAGTATACCTGACGAGAAGATGTATCGTAATTTCCCGAACGCTGCCGAGCCGAGTTAAATCCGTCGATTGACCTCTCGGTCGAAGTTGGACTTACCTAGTCGGACTATTTGTCCCAGGTAAACGTACTCGTCAACAACTTCGAGCATAGTGCTCCCAACAACTACTGGCATAGGTGTGACATGGACATTGAACATGATCTTTGTTTTGTCCATGTTCATCTTAAGACCTATCCGTTGGGAGACACCATTGAGGTCATTGATCATAGTGCTAAGGTCCTCCAGCGATTCTGCCATAAGGACTATATCGTCAGCAAATCGAAGGTGAGTGATGTACTCGCTATTGATGTTAATACCGTATCCTTTCCAGTCCAGTAGCTTGAAAACATCTTCCAACGCAGCGGTGAAGAGTTTCGGGGATATAAAGTCACCCTGTCTTACATCTCACTGCAGTTGGATAGGTTTTGAACTCTGGTTCTGTACTCGGATAGCCATCGTAGCCCTACTGTACAAACACTTCAGCACTTCGATATACCGACAGTCAACTTGGCACCGCTGAAGGGTCTGCAGCACCGCCCAAATTTCGACGGAATCAAAGGCTTTCTCATAGTCCACATACGCCAGGCAAAGTGGCAGATTGTACTCTTCGGTCTTCTGTACAATCTGCCGCAGGGTATGTATGTGGTCTACGGTACTGAAGCCTTTTCGGAAACCGGCTTGTTCAGGAGGCTGGAAGTCGTCGAGTCTGCGTGCGAGACGATTCGTAACGACTCTCGAAAACAGCACGTAGACGCGGCTCAGAAGGGAAATCGGTCTGTAGTTCTTCAAGAGAGCGTTATCGCCTTTCTTAAAGAATAAGACCACCGCGCTTCTGCTTCACGCCTCCGGAGTAGTACCACCATGGAGGACGGAATTGAAGAGCCTCTGAAGGACTTCAAGTACCGGTGTTCCACCCGCTTTCAGAAGCTCCGCTGTAATTCCATCCTCGCCTGGGGCCCTGCCGTTTTTAAGGTGCTGGAGAGCCATTCTAATCTCGCTCAGACTGACGTCCGGGATATCATCGGTATAGTGTCGGGTAAGACTTGCTCTTGGATCGTTACTCACACTTGCGTGTGGCTCCAACGATGATGTGTACAGCTGCTCATAGAATCTCTCAATCTCACTCAAAATCTCAGGTATCCCGGAAACGATGCTTCCACACTCAGTCTTCAGCTTTGACTGTTGGCTCTTTCTGGAAAACAGATCTCTGGCAAAGACTTTGGAGCCCTGGTTCCGCTCGATTGCTTCTTTAATACGAGCGGTATTAAAGTTGCGTAAGTCTTGCCGCATGCATTTGGAGACCTGTCTGTTCAGTTGCCTGTATGCTGTCAAATCTGTTGACGATTGCAGCCTCATCTCCCGTCTAACAGCCATGAGATTAAGAGTGTGATCGGAGACTTTTTGTGTTCTTCTGCGGCGGGTCTTGCAGAACTTAGCTTCCGACCGCATGGACAGTTTCCACGAGCTTGTCATTCATATCGTCCACTGCATTGCAATCTTCTAGGCCACTGAAAGCGGTTACGTAACTCGAGCTGAAAAGCCTCAGGATTCTGGATTAGAGCATGAGGGGGGACGGAGCGTTGACTTCATTAGATGAGACCTCTCCAACTTAACGTTTACGTTCAGTGTGCCTCTAACCATTCGGTGATCGCTGCCGGTTTTCACCCTTGCGATCACTGAGACATCACTGAACAGTTGGCGTCTGGTCGTCATAATGAAGTCAATCTCATTTTTTGTCAAACCGTCTGGGCTCGACCAGGTCCACTTCCCTGTGGGGCCGCTTCTGGAAGAAAGAGTTCATCACAAAGAGTCCCTCTTTCTCCATAAAGTCAGCCAGCTGCTGGCCCCTACGGTTCCGTTGCCCTACTCCAAATTTCCCTAACTTTAGCTCACCGCCTTCTCTTGTGCCTAGTTTTGCGTTGAAGTCTCCCATCAACACCGTGTAGTGGGTTTTGGAGGAATGCATGGCTCTAGAAATATCCTCATACATTTCCTCCACCTCCTAATCGGGATGTGCCGAGGTTGGTGCGTAGACCTGTATGACCTTCAGCGGATACAGTTTGGTGATTCTGAGTATCAGGTACGCGACCCTCGTCGACACACTCCCAATCTTTACAACGTTGTTGACGAGAGACTTGTGAACGATAAATCCGACACCTCCTTGGGACAGATGGTCGCCCTCCCGGTGATAGAACAAGTTGCCTAGCTCGAGGATTACCGTGTCCTCCCCCACTCTTCGGACCTCAGATAATCCAATAATATGCCAGCGCAACTTGTCCACCTCTTCTTCCAGCTCCAGTATCCTCTCATCTGTCCTCAGGGTGCGTGCGTTATACGTTGCCAGGTCGAGTCGTCATAGGTGGCAACCGAACCTCCACCGGAGATTTTTAGCACCCCCTGCCCCGCCGTTACCATGGCCGCCACAACAACCGCAGTTTTTCACCATGTTATTGTTGTTATTAGGAAGATGTTGCTGCCCATCTCCTTTCTGTGTCCCTCTGTCGCCTCTTACGACACCCACGGGAAGATATGGGGTAGTGGATATTCTTAATCGTCACTACACGGCTAGAGAGCGTTTTAGGGCAAGGAATTGCGTGATGGCGAACTACACATGGCTTCGAGATATTTATTTCTTATTTCTCAGACATGCAGGTTTCCTCAGGATGTTTTCCTTCACCACCGAGCACGTGGTAAATCGGCACTTAAAATTTCAATTAACAATTTCATTGGCGGACCCGGTTTGCTCGCTTACTGTGTAATTTACAGCGAGTGCTAACCATCTGAGCACCCACGGCTCCCATTTTTTGTTATTTACTATGTAGATAATAATTGGATATAAAGTTACAAAAAATGAATCGCACCGCCGAGCGCGCAGTGAATTAACAGATAAACTTCCTATTAACTATGTCATTGGTGGTAGAATAGCAGCGTAATGCTGCTGTGTTTCATATGGTGAGTGTAGAGAACCGGAGACCCTTTTTACTAGAATCGAGGCATTCTATCTTAGTCCTCAGTGATATCAACGCATTTGCATTTTGATCCTTAATTGAGGATAAATGTGGATGTCTATGGGCCACAGCATCCACTTACCATCAGGTGGACTGTGTGCTTGTTTGTCACCCAATACTATAAAAAATTAATTATTTTCCTTATGTTATGTAGTTATGAGTCATTAGTCAACATCAACAACATCAATCAGAAGTAGAATATTTTTACCTTTAGCAGCCTGTTAACATTGGTGCACCAGCTGCTTACAAACAACGACATTTATTCTTAAATTTGATAAATAATCATAAAACCTCTTTTTATGATTTTACAGGAGAAGAATGAAAAGTCGCAAAATATTTTCTTTTTCAAAGTTATTGTATCTTTAACAGGTTCACTGTCCAGGTTAGAGAGTGAAAATTGCTCAGAAGTCCAGTTATGTTTTTGTGAAAATTGGTATCTTATGGGTATAAATAAATAAATAATGTTGTGAAATACATATATATGTAATTGGAAAATATTTTTTAAAGCATACCACATATGGTCTGTGGACTCTCTAGAACAAAAATGACCAAAAGTTACCTCATGAGTCCACAGAACATATGTGGTCTGTGCGTATTTTTGTCGTTATATTATTTTTTATCTGTATCAAATAAGAAATTACCATAGACAAATTATGGATTACGATGACATAAGTGAAATAAGCAACTTGATTGACAAAATGACGTTTATGACATTAGTAGAAAGTCAAAACAAAGCAAACGTGTTTGTATTTTTGAGCTTGTTTCGCTGATTTATAAGTTATTGTGGCAAAATGAGTAAAAAACAATACTGTACGGACGAAGAGTTGCGAAGAATATTAGAAGAGAGTGATTACGAACAAAATAGCCAGTCAAATTCGTCGGATGAAGAAGAAAATGATACCGACGGCCGTAGTGATGTGCCTGATTTTGACGATGATGATAGTGTAGCCGATCCCGATTTTATTCCTCATGATTTGTCACCTGACCGATCAAGTCTACGAGATATAAATATTCAGCATTCGATTGAACAACATATGAATAATGATATTTTTGAAAGTACGGTGACATCTCATCCGTCGACGTCTCGTAACTCTAATGACCACAACAAATCCAAATAACCGCACCACCTGATTCCGATTCTGACGACGACGGAGACATTGAAATGAATGCAGCTCCAACTGGCACAATACCACCTACAGAGCGTCGAATGAAAGAACATGATGAGGAAAATGGATGGAGTTACGACATTCAGCCATTAGTTCGTCAAATTTTTAGTAACTCAGAAAACTTTATACAAACTGAAAACATTCCAGAAAATGCAGATGTGTTTACAATTTTTCGTCTTTTGGTTGATGACAATTTCTTTGACCTTGTGATAGAACAAACCAATCTGTACGCTGAACAACTGATTGCTAATAATTCTGGAGGTCGTTTGAGCCGCTGGAGACCGGTAAACAAGGAAGAAATGGAAAAATTTATGGGCATTTACTTGCTGACTGGTATAATCAGATTCCCTACATTAAAATGCTACTGGAAAAAAGATCCCATTTTTTATCATCCTCTATTGCATCAGATACAAATGTCCTACAATCATTTCATAGCAATTTTACGCTGCTGGCATTTCGTCGACAATACAATTGGTAAAGAGATGTCAATAATCGCTTGTATAAAATCCAACCAGTTATAGACATTGTAATGAGAAACTGCAGGAAGTTGCTTTCGCCAAAAGACTGCGTTGTTGTGGATGAATCTATGGTTCCCTTTCAAGGCCGACTGCTGATTCGTCAGTATAATCCAAACAAAACTCACAAGTATGGACTCAAGATCTACAAAGTCACAACTGATGATGGGTATATTGGAAATATAAAGTTTATTCTGGCCAAGATCCTCAAATCTCCAATCTTGATAAACCTGGAAGTGTTATTATCGAGCTTTGTGAAGACCTTTTGGACCAGGGGAGAATGATTATAGCAGATAATTGGTATACAAGTATACCATTAGCTGAATACTTGCTTCAACATAAAACTGATCTTTGTGGGACATTGAGGAAAAATCGTAAAAACTTACCTTTATTGATTAAAACAAGAAACTGAAGAGAGGAGAGCAAATTGCTGCTCAAAAAAATAATGTGACGATCCTAAAATGGCATGACAAGAGGGACGTGCTCATGATATCTACTTGTCACGCAGATGAACAAACGATGAGTACAGGTCGAAACCCGCGTCCAAAGCCTAATATGATATTGGAATACAATAATCGAAAAAAAGGTATCGATCTTTCTGACGAATTAGCTAGCTACTATTCGCCAATTCGTAAGACTTTGACATGGTACAAAAAAATTGCTGTCAATGTCCTGTTTGGAGTGGGTGTCATAAATACAGTTTATTTGTTCAATAAATGAACCAGCAGAATAAATGTACGTTATTACAGGCCCAAATTTGTATTATAAAAAATCTTTTGGGTATGAACGTTGTCCAGACACCGGCCACACCAGCGCCGCCGGCGCCGTCTACGTCACAAGCACAGCATTTTCTCAAACAGCTGGATAGAAAAGATGGCAAAATTACCAGACGTAGGTGTGCCGGATGCTATAATGAGTTTCGTCAAAAAGGGGAAACATCAGCAGCTGCCACTAATAAAGCCAAAAGGGTTTCACAAATATGCAACATCTGTACCAAACCGTATTGTCTACAATGTTTCCAAAAAGAACATAATAATATGAACATTTAATTTTTTTTTTACTTTTTGGAACTTTTTTTCTTTTTCAATAAATAACTATTTACTTTTCATTACATTGTATGTTTTATTTTACATATTCATTATTTATTTAGCTTAAAGTGAAAATGCAATAAAATGCACATAGGTAACTTTGTTTTCGATATTACATTTTTTTTAAATCGCAATTACGATAAAACGGCACATCTGTTCCCTATGTCCCAACACTATTTGTAATATATAGGGTATGTTCTGTCAAGTCCATGTCAAATGAACGACGTTCTCTCCACGTCCACTGATAAAAACGGCCTGGAAATTGTATTGACGAACAGACCACATATGGTCTGTAGACTGGTAGTGTAGTTTAGTCTACAGACCATATGTGGTCTGTGGACAGTGAACCTGTTAATATACTTTATTTTTTGTTCTTCAATCAATTGCGTCCGCGTTGTCATAATTATTAAACAAACTTCATCTATGAACAAAGAGATTTAAATACATATATACACTATTACCTAAACCCATTTGGGGTTACCGTTTTCAACCTAAATATAAAAATGCTACTTTCTTTCGCGCGTTCGGTTTGGTCGTAGTTTTATTTTTATATTTAATAAAAGTTATCTTATAGTCCATTATTTTCAAATTCTTAAAAAGAAAAACAAAACGTATTATTTTATAAAGTATAACTGTATAAGAACAGATTACGATACTGTTATTGCCTGTTATTGTTAACACAGCACTACAAATATAAGGCGCTGACATAACCTTGTAATAGCGCAGTATAGATTTAGAAAAATATTGTTTACCAAGTTTTGAAAAACTTTTGAAAAACCAAGACACTCAGTTTGGCACAAAATTATAACATTCATTGATTATTGATATAATAATGTTGTTTTAATGCTCATCAATTGTTAAAACGGTAAACAACCAGCAAAAATATTTTTATCGTAACTGCAACGCCATTACAAAGTTACGTCGTCAGTTCAATCGCCACGTGTCAGGAACGTCGGCCAAAAACCTCGAGCATGGTTACAATAAAACTACTTTAAAACCATACTTTTAAAACAAACATAAAAGCAAAAGGCTCCGAAGCTCATTCTCTAAACGGCCGAACTATAGTTATCCATTTTACACACATTTTTATACACTTTTGCACTAAAGACCCAACAACATAAATTTTTAATTAAATTTGAAAGAACTATGAACAAATTGTATTTAAAATTGCTATGAATTGTCAATTACACTTTTTTGGGTCCTGGATTCTGAGGTTTTACCTAATGAACGCCATCTTTACAACGCTTAAGAAAACTATTCTACAAGTTTATGTACCTGATTCACTAGAGAGCAGAACTTTCAATACATTAATTTGTTCTCGTGAATTTGTACATAAGTTTCATCCTCTGGCCATCCTTATGCTGGGGCTACACTAACGAGAAAAGTCAATGCCCATAAACGAAACAAATATTGCTTTAGATTTAACACGATAAAGTGAGTGGCTATACTTGAACGGTTACCTAACGTCATTTCAATTTTAATGCCATTAAACGGCGTTAAAGTTGGCGTTAATGTTCCTTGAAGACTTTGTATTTTGTTTAAATGGGTTCTATAAAAATCCTTTAGGCATTCTTTCTTCTTTTTGATTTCTTCGATAGTTGTTTTAAAAGGTATTACTTAATTGCATAATTCGTCACAAAGCAATCTGGACAGAAAAAAAGAAATTAAGAATTGGACCCCATGAACATAGCTCTGTTTGCAGCATCTCAAGAAACGTATTAACTTTTTCATTATTCCGCTCCATCATAGCCATACGTGGGACCCTGTTGCGCTCACCGTGCAGGTGCACAATGCGACAAACGTAGTGTGCCGCTTCAACGAGTTATTTTGTGCGTTAATCTCTTTGATGTACCGCAACTCGAATTATCGCCAAACGGCATTGTTAATACCGTTGTCAAATTAAGGCGTTAAGTCGTGGCCATACCTACATTCAACGTCCATCAACGCGATAAATATCGGCAATTCATACGTGGTAGAGCCATGCTGCAGTTACATTAGTAGTATAGTTGTAGCACGATGATGGGGGGACAAGTCGCTCGTGTCCGTAGGCTTCGGCGATCTAATCCTAGGCCCACCCTACACGTGTCCTCCAGGTGGTGTTAAACGAGCGACCAGCTGAAAGTACAGCCTCGGCTCCTCGCCGTGTAGTAGCGGCGGAAAATATACCACCCCCTAGTTTAGCACCATGAGGCAAAATTTTATTCCAGACTTTTTTTAAAGTCTGTTCTTTCAAACTGTCCCAATCTGCTCTGATCATGTATGGGCATCTTTTAAATCAATCTTTTTTTAATTTCTAATTAGACTTTCTTCTCCCTCCTCTTTTCTTTCGAACAACAACTTACGTGGCAATTTTTTAATTTCTTCTGTAGTATCGCTAAAGTCCAGTCGCGGAGCAGGAGGAATTTCGTAAAATGACCTCTTTGCCTACTGACAGTGTTCACAAACATTTTTGTGTTAAGTGTAATTTTTATGAAATATTTGAAGGAAAAAAACTATTATCGTATTAAATAAATTATAAATTATTTATTTTGATTTTAGTAAAAAACAGTTGATTAAAACTACTTTTACGGATTTTACCGCGTTTAACTTTAAATGATTTTTAATTTCCGACGTTTCGGGTGCCTACCAGCACCCATGGTCACGTGGGATAAATCGATTATTATAAATATATTAGTATCGGATTTTTATATAAGTTTATTTATAGATATATCGAAAATCCGATATTTTAAAAATATCAACAGTCGTAGTTTAAGCCGATCAGTTGGAATGATAAGTTGAACTGACCGTGTGTGTCGTCCAATTACAATTACTAATTTGGCAGAAATAAAAAAATTTAAATTCAAAAATCAGAATCCTATTTCTTTGTATCAGAGTTACTACTTTCCGATGACGTTCCGCTTGTCACATATATTACAAAAGACTCAACAGTTTTGTCTACTTTAAACTTAACAAAACCACTTAACAATTAAAACAAGATAACTAAAATTAACAAACAACAACAAACTAAGAATAGATAACAGAGATAACTGTGTCCGAAAACTGAGCGATCACTAACGCATCCCAAAATGGAATGTCGTTTGTTCCTTATTTAAAGTTATTAATTATGTCAAGCAAACCATGGATTTTTGGTCGTGCCTCAAGGCCAACCAAATACCCCGTGCAAACAAACCTTACAGTCTCAGGTAAAAGGTTTACAATCCCTGAGGACGGCGATCATTGCATCCGCATTATACTTACGCGGGAGTGACAGAGACAGGTAATAACAGGTCAACGTACGAAATTCTTCCTGCTTTGCGTCCGGACTATAGAAAGTCTCAATAACTTCTTGGTCATGGTATGTAATAAGGAGGTTAAGGTGGGTGGAAGAAACATCACTTTTATAAATTCGTCCTTTTCATTTAGGATGCCACGTGATGGTTTTTTTGCATTATCAAGGAGGAATATACTTTTCTCTCTTATGCCATTCTTTAGCTCAAGAGCTTTTAAGTGGGTACAAAATCTTCCATTATCCATTCCATGAAAATGTTACTGTTCATCCAGGCGCTATTTGTGAGGTGTAAACAATAGGTATTACATGTTTGGAACAACGCGGTTTCTGACTGGCGGGCTACTGCTGTCGGTGTCGCATCTCAGCGTGGTATGGTAGCAGTTCGGTTAAACGATCGTTCAGTTAATCGACACTCTACCGTAGTATCATTTTTAAGAGGATATCCGCGTGTGCACATGTACGTATGTATCTATGTATGTTCGGATTCAATTTTCGCCTCGTGTAGTATCTCGAGAACAAAAAGTGATATTTACATGAGATCAGTTTCATTTAACGCATAATTATGTAACTTAGACCTCATTAAATTTTGAGAAAAATCGGTCGTCGTTTTTTATGCCGAATGAAAAATGGTATAAAATATTAAAACTTTT